CACTCAGCTATCAACCACTGAAGATAATTATATATTTCTATAATTTATACATTTTAAATTCTTCGAGTTTTATATACTAAAATTTTTTAAATCATTTAATTTCTCTGACATTCAACACTTTCACATCAAGTATTTCACATATTTCGAATCCTCGTGAAACGTTCTACAAAAATCAGTCAAAATTAAGGGGTGTTCAATTTTGGCCCAAATTTTGTTTTGCTCCCCCTGGGCGCAGGGAATGGAACAAAGTACCAACATATACCCCTCAACTGAGTATGATAGTAAAGTCCATAGAGGAGGTGAGAGAAAACACATATGTGCACAGGTGGCAGTGAGTATGAATAACACGTCACTCTTTAGGAAATTTCACTTTCAAGAGTGGAACGGATGCCATTATTAAGAGCCGTTGTCTGAGAACATCAGCCAGATGAGGATACTGACATTAACAGCTTTTGGCTGAAGTTTTGACCAAATGCTTCTCTATCTATTTGTAAGTTGCCCTGGAATTCTCACCTCGAGAGGTCACCACCTTCCTCACTTCCGGACTTTGCAAAAATGGCTAATGACACACAAAAAGTCGAGATTTTTTCGCAAATTCGAGGTTTTTCAAAAACGACAAAAGCCGCTGAGCTGAACTTTTTTATTAAAGCCATCTAATGGGACGGCTTTTATGATCACAAAGTTTCAACCTCATAGCATTCTGTCTTCGGGTTTTATACATTTTTTATCGGCTTTGTAATTTTTAAAAGATTGCACATTTCTCCCATGTAGGAACAGAGACAAAAATCTGGAAGTTAGTGGGTCTAGGCCAGTTTTTGTTGCTAATTCCGAACCTGCTATCAAAAGTATTGGTAATCTCACCCAAAACCCTCTAGAAAACTCTTGCAAACCTCAAATAGTTCTTTGATCCCACTAGTCGATATAAAATGCAAAACTATATAAACATGCCAAGTTTCTAGTTTCTGCATCATTTTTATGCAGAGTTATTGCGTTTTCAGAAAAACATCGATTTTTCCACGCTTTCCGTAAGAAAAATCAAGAGTAAAAACCAATGTTTTTTTGAAAATCCAAAGGTGAAATGTATTGTGGCTTAAACTCTAGGACATAGTAGCCTGTCATCGTAGGCAAGTTTGGTAAAAATTTCAGCTCATTAGCTTCTATCGTTTCGGGGAACGCCTAAGTTTCCGTATTTCGCGAAAAAATGTGTTTTTTTGGTTGCTTACCAACCATTTTTGCGAAGTCCATACAACTGGGAAGGGAGAGAAATCTGGAGCTGAAAATTTTATGACAACGTATAAATAGGTAGAGGAACATCTGATGAGAATTCCAGCCAAATCGGTTAATATTAGTGTCTTCACCAGCCTGAAGCTATAAGAAAATGTCTCTTGATGAAAAACTTTTTAGAATTTTAGCAAAATACTCTACTCTGGCGGTAAAAACAAAAGTTGAAAATAACTACAATCTCAAAATTTTGTGAAAGTAATCGTCAGAGAAGAAAGCCGAGTGTAAACTGAATCTGGAAGCAAACAGGCACTATAAAACTTACATGCAAGCTTTTTCTTCTCTTTTCTTATGAGCATTTTATGATCTAAACAGAGTTTGTCAAAGTAAGAAATGTAAAAAGATAGGTGAGGTTTCTTTAAGTAAAATAAAAAGGTGAGATTTCTTCAAGATTATATTACCACTGTTTTAGCACAAGAACAATAAAAATGCAAATATTATTTTTCGTTCTTTATAGAACATTTTTTGTGATTTTTTACTTTTTATGTTTGCTCGCAAAGGTAAATTTTGAGTAATTATGTCAAAGTATCAACTGTAGAATTTTGAATCTTATTTTTTTGGTAGCTCGAGAGAAGAAAAAATAATGTTTTTTTCATGAAACAAAGTCCGATACATAGTTTCGATACAGAAATAGAGAAAACAGTGTATTTACAACGCATAATAAAGAACATAAAGGGTACTCTATTAAACTAAAAAGTTATTTTGTTTATGACATCAAGAACGAATTAAGTTACATCTGTCGAATAGCTCTTGAATCCGAACTTATTGTTTTTATAAGCGAGCATGCTCCAGTGCATTGGCAATCCTTCTCTTATGGTCAAATTACCATGCACTTTTATTTATATTTTCGAAATCTGCGTCGAAAATTATGCTATATGAAAAAATTTTGAGCGAATTTGGAGGAAACTTCACAGAGTTATGCATACGCATTTGACAAATAACTCCTCATCCTTTAAGTTTTTAGCTAATGACTCGCTCGTTTTTCTACAAAAGCTTTACTCTTTGGTCTCATTTAAAAAAACATTAAAAACTGCGTTAGCAAACATATGTACTAAAGTTTTTTTTACTAAGAATTAGATTTTTAAAAAGATTTCTTTGTGAAAAACTAGACTATGAAAGTCGTATCTTTCTAAAGTTTTTGGCTTATTTCGGTATGAATGAACTTCGACGAATAAAATAGATATAACCTGTGTTGTAGACAATTTAATTATCTACAAAAGTTTCGCAAAAGCATGGAGAGAAAAGTTTGGAAAAGCGCCTAGAATTGATGAACTACATGTGGAACTCGGATAAAAGTTTGCATTTTACCGCAGTTTTTGCATGATATCTCATTTGATTTCAGCGTGCGAAACTACATCAGAAGATCTATCTTTCATATTTTTTGAATTTAAAAGAAAATTTCTTTTTTTTTGTTCAGGCAAAGCGGCTAGTCCACGAGTTTTGGCCATTTTTCACCAATTAAAACGAAAAATTATTGTTAGTAAACACTTTGATTATAGGTTACCTTTGTGGAGGTTATTGACCCTATATTGTTCTGGATTAGAGCTACCAGACCTACTATAAGTTAGGCGTTGACGGCGTTGTTTAGTTGGTAAAAAGTGGCCTAAACTCGGAAAACTGTCAATGTGCTTGGAAAAAACAAAATGCTTTTTTAAGTTCAAAAATTATGAAAGACTTTTTTTCTAGTACAGTTTTTCACACTAGTTTCGAATATAATCTCATTTTTTTGAATTTGAGCAAATATCGATGACAAAGAAGGCTTAAAATTGTGAAAGAATGAAATTCTTAACAGCAGTTCACCATCTTGTTCCCAGTTTTTGACACTCTGTAGAAACTTTGTTTGTCCTATCTATCCTTCAGTTGTGTAAAAAATTAAATTTTCTAAAAGATAGGCTATGTTTAGTTTCCGCAGCGAGCACTTCTCATATCGAAAAAGGTCGAAAACTTGAAAAAACATGCCTTCTAAAATGCTCAATTTTTTCGAAATAACTTTTACAATTAATCAGTTCTTGTCGATAAACTTTACCAAAGGCATTTTCTATTGCAGTTTTTGAAACTCTTTCAAATGACGTCAAGCAGTAGACGCTGTTGTTTAGCTACAGTTATAAAATGGCGAAAAAATTCAATAAAATTATTTTGCCAGAAAACCATTGAATTTATTGATATTTCCGGCTTACTATAACCTGTACACCAGATATAGTTCGCAAGTGTCATTCATTTTATAATTATGCTTACACATTATAGCTTTTTGGAGTGAAGTCGCATATAAAAACAAATTTTGTAGAGAAAATAAACTGCAGATAAAATTTGAGCAGTTACTTGAAGAAAGATTCCTACCACGACTTTACGGATGAGAAGCTGAAGCAGCTTATAGCAATATTTTTTCACTTTTTGATCTGTTAACTTACGTTTTACGACTTATAGCTTAGAAGGTTCTCATCGACGAAATTCAATTCAGCTGTTACCACTCCTCGATTTGACGTCATTTTCGAATAACTGAATCAAAATAATAAGATAAATATTATTTTTCTTATTGAGAAAATCATGGAGTTGAATTTGATTATTAGTCAGTGAAATAAGTAACGCGTTCATTTTTTTCCCTCAGAAAAATGCTTTCAGAAAAGTTAAATAATCTAAGAAGACAAATTCGGGTGTGCTTATCATATCCGTTGAGAGAGCGTTTGTTTACTTGCAGATGTAGACACGAGACTTGGATTCGATCAAAAAATCTTTTAACCAGTCCGACTCCATTCGGTTCAGATCGGCCTATGAAAAAAGTTTCTGACCGGTAATGACCCTGGTAACAAAGATGTCAGCATTTATTTACCGATTCCTTTACCATGACCGGCGAAAAACCGGACGGAAAATCGTTTCAACTAGACCGGTCTGTTCGCTTTGACTGGGCCGGTTCCAAGTCTGATAGACACTGCGATATAAACAAACTAAATTTGATTTGCTCAAATATTAGAACAGAATATCTAGTACTAATAAAGATCCAGCTTGACGGCAGGATAGCTGAGGATATCGAGAAACAGGTAACGAGAGTAGTGGTCCTCTGCAGTTGTTAGATTGACAAAAAAACCGGCAAACCAACACCAAGTTGTTGATATAGTTCTCTGAAGGAGAACCGATCAGCTTGACGGCGAAGTGTTTCTGTACTGTGGCTGGTGATTAGCTGCATATAACAAACCGATTTTCTTCGTAAGTTTCGTTTTTCTATATAATTTAACTCAATATCATTTTCGCGATAGGATCAAGGAAAAGGAGTTATTTGTACGTTACAATAAACATTTATCTTGAAGTTGAGAACACTTTTGAAAAAAGCAAGTTTTCATATGATTGAGCTACTTTGATTATTCATAGAAAAAAATGACGATGAAAAATAATTATCATATGATAGAAATTAAGAGCATGTTAATGGAAAAATGCTCTCTCCATTAAAATTAAAAATTGACGGAGAATATTTCCAAATGGAAATATTACCTTGCCGCCTTGCTGAAGGACGTTCACTTACTTTCTCCGCAGTAATACAGGGCGGTTCAAAAAAATAACTTCCCCCTTTTGAGAATATTGATTATTTTATTAAAGAAGAATTTTTTGATTTAATTTTTGTTTAGATGAATAGAGCTGGGGAAAAGCTAGTAAGAGAAACAGTTGGTATTTTGAAAAAGCTTCATCCTGATTGGGGAGCCAAAAGAATTTTATCAGATATTAAACCGATGGTTTGGTGCGGAATTAGTTCTGATGGACTTGTTGGTCCGTATTTTTTTAACGATACTGTTACTGGCCCATTGTACAAAGAAATGCTGATCAATTATGCATGGCCTCAGTTAAGACGGAAAAACTATTACTTCCAGCATGACGGTGCGCTGCAGGACCACATTATGCTATTATCGTTCGAGAATGACTTGATGAACACTTTCCAGATCGATGGATAGGTAGACGTGGTCCATATGATTGGCCAGCTCGTTCACCAGATTTATCTTCATGTGACTTTTTCCTCTGGGGATATTTGAAAGACACGGTGTTTAAACAGCCACTTACTTCCATTCAAGAACTTAAACAGAGAATCGAAGAAGCTTGTGTACAGATACCAGAAGAAATGTGTCGCAAAGTATGTCGTTCTGTTCAACAGCGCCTTCATGTCTGTATGAATAATGGAGGACAATTTGTCTCAAACTAGGCTTACATATCAGTTACATCTCTGATTAAATAAATAAAAGAATATACTATAGCATCAGCATATAACTATGAGAAAAAACCTCATTGTAAAGTTTACTTATAGCGTTAAAAAAATTATTTGTTTTATGTTCATAAATGGTCTGTTTTGTGATGAATAGACACTTCTATCCGCTTACTGTACTCGGAAAAAAAATCAGCTCATTTGGGTAAAGAATGACGAAAACATTGAGCATTTTCTAACTCTAAGGACTTTACGGACACCCTATATTCCCCCAAGCAAAAACGACCCAATCTTTTGGGCTATTTATCTAGATTCAGCTCCACGTACATCTAGATGCACGTGGACCTGAATCTAGATAAATAACCCAAAAAATTGGGTCGTTTTTGCTTGGGCCACTCGTTCTGTCTTCTGTATTTAGTTAGATGATGCAACATATTTGTATGTCAATACAATCGACATGTTAAAAAGTATGATGAATCACCTAAAAACAACAACAATTTGCTGTTGATTGTGAGGTATGTGAAGCTCTTGTGGTTTTCTCATTTACCACTTCTTGTTTTAGTACCTTTAGAGACATAGTTATCGTTCATATTAAGCCTTCACTTGTGCCTTACAGATGTCAACGCGTTCATTCAAATAATTATCTTCTGGATCCATTAATTTTAAGAGAAGACTTACATGTATTAAAGACTGTATTTACAAATCTAAAACTATTAAAAGTGAGCAGAAATACTAAACAGAACATTCCGTGTCAGCAGCTAAGGAATCCTTTAATATTGATTATAATCTCATGAACATGTAAATATCTCTCACTGTGTTCTTTTTTGGTATTTTACGTTGGTATATCTGATACTGAACGGTTATGCGACGATTTTAGTTTATGTGTTATAAATATGTTTGGCACGTATCATGCAGCTAAAGAATTAAATTTAACATCGTTCAAAGTACCCAAAGTAAACAAACAACACAAACTACTCAAAGTACCAAAGTACTATCCATTTTTCCATCTACGCATACGATGCTATATTTGATGTACATGAAACAAGCTGAATACCGAACTTTCAACAAGAAATACCCCAAAATAAAAATTCCTATCTGTGATGCACTCACGTAACCGTTTTATTACACGAAGATAGTCAATACAGACCGTATTGTGACATCTCTGGATAAGTAAATAAATTTATGTCGTGCTGCTGTGAAAAACTTATGCAAACAGAATGAGTAACTTTTATCTTGCCTTTGATATGTTTACTTACATGACGCAGCATCTATGTAGTTCTGTTTTCTGCATTTTGCTTAGTATATTTTTCACATGTGTTTTCTAACTTAAGTAATCTGCAAACCGTAATAGTGATCAGAAGGTAATAACACAGTATAAAGTTAGAATATCTTTAGATTTGGCATACCTTCAAAACTATCTAAACCTGCAGGTTTTTCTATGCATAGTACTTTCAAGTACTGCATAAAGTCCATCCATCCATCCAAAAATCGAGATTTTATATAATCTATGGCCCCTGATATCACTGCTGACCAGAAACCAGTGACATTTACATTCCTTTCGCTCATCTCAAAAACTATGATATTTGCGTAAGAATTTCACATTGGGCTAAGTGCCCAAGCAAAAACGACCCAATTTTTTGGGTTATTTATCTAGATTCATCTAGATGTACGTGGAACTGAATCTAGATAAATAGCCCAAAAAATTGGGTCGTTTTTGCTTGGGTGCACAACGATTTCTGTTAGAACGAGTGACAAGTATTTTCTTCTCGTATTATATACAATTGTATTTTCTCTCTCAAACAAGATCAGTAGTCTTGCCTGCTGATGATACTGTGGCAATATAGAAAGCTAGCTTTTTTTGTGTGTAAAATGACTTTACTTAAATTCTTTTCAATTCTTTTAAATATATTATCCCCAATATTTAGACTACTATTAATGTTATCGTAAACCTCGTTCGAAAAGCGCTCCGATCGTACTTCAAGTGACATATAATTTGCCGCATCTTTATGTTACACAACCGGGAAAACTGCTATAGAAACTTAGTATTTCATTTTTCTGAAAACCAGCTTTTTTACTAAAAGTGCTTCAGATCTTCGCGATAATTCTCTTCAATGAGAGAATTTTAAGTTTGATTATTATTTTGTTTGAAAGAATGGAGCTATCAAGAGATCACTAAGTATCTATTTCTCTGATTTTTTCCGAGCCTTTTCCGAACGACAAACACCGAGACGAGCTCAGCGAGTTTTCCAGTTTCACAAATGCCCTCCACGAATTCACCGCAAAAACATCAATCCAGTACAGACCGCGTGCAATACTTCGTGAAGACATATCACATTGTATCGGAAAGGCCCCAAGTGAATCTGTGCAAACTATAAATATCTAAATATTCGAATAACTAACTATCTAAGAGGCCAATAACATGTGAACCTGCACAAACTGTAATTCTCCAAATACCTAAATATCTGGTGGGAGTACTTTTCGAAATGTCTTAGTATCTAAGTAACTTGAGGGGTACATTTTTTCCGATGGAGAAAAAAATGCAGGCTGCAAAAATGAAAAGGACACAGATGCATTTTGGTTATGATGCCCCGAAAACCGTAAAAACCACCTTTTTCTAATCTTGTAAAGCGAAGTCGAACAAACCTACGGGGCATCTCATTTTGATAAGAACGCCTTGCTCCACACAACATGACTGTTTATTCTGATGAACAATCTTTATTATCTCACAGGCAATGTCTCTGTTCCTTAGTGGAATATGAAGGGACATCATTAGTACGAGTAGAACGTATCACAATTTACTGTGTACACTCTACAATCTGTTTCATAATAATATGAAAACAGCTGAAATTATTTTCGATATATTAACAGCTATATAAATTGTTTATTAATTCTTTCCTGTCCTACGCTTGATCCACGTCGTGATAGTGGACTTCCAGTGCGGACTTATCACTTTACAGTTATTACAACACTTATTGGCGATAGTGTATATGGGTGCCACATTTATTCATCTTATCCGGTGCTTTTCTTTATCAAAAATAACGCTTTCATCGGAATTCGCAAAACATCGCGGATTTTGTGCGTGCTGTACTAACTCTCATTCTTTAACATCTCTATGATTTACGTTTCGCATATGCTCGTTTAGTCGTGTTTTAGAGGAACAAGTCTCACCAATAAAAATGTCACCACATCAACAAGAAACACTATAGACACCATCTTGACGACCTTTAACTCGTGATGACATTTTGTTTACAGTTGAATGACCGTCATTTTTCTTTCAACAAACAACAGCATTATCACTCTTGCTCAGATTCATGCAACTAGATCATCATACATAAGAATATTATTGCCGCCGTCCTGTCGTGACGATGTTTTAATAACAAGATCAGATTTGCCGTTCAAATTATTGAATCAATAACTGACGGTTGTATTTGTGGAAGTGGCGTGTATCGGCCTAGTTTTAATGGATAATTCGGCAACAATGATTTAACTTCAGAGGTTACAGCAATATCACTGTTACCTTTCACTTTTACCTTCCGATTATGTTTATGTGAGATAGAATTCAGTAACACTTGGAACGCTTCCATATGAAATACATCCACAACAAAATATTCGTTGTATAAACGATCTTCAATTAAAAAGTGGACATATATATGCTTCCACATCATATTTACTAAAATATCAAACATCAACGGATGTTGATAGTGTTAGTTTTCGAGTAACTACAAATTTGTGTGATCATGCAGTAATAGCAAAAGAATTTAATGTAGCATTGCGACGTGTTGAATCATTTCAAAGAGATCACATTCAAAAAAGTAAAGAATTTTTAATATTATTTACAAGTATATTCAAAGTTTTCCGTTGCTTTGGACCTTCTATTCTAATCTCAGTACTTGAAGTGGCTTCATTTGTAAATGTGAAAGTAGTTGAAAATATGCTGCATTTATGCTCACGGGCATTTGGTTATCAGTTATCAGATAACAATAAAGGAAAATCAGAAGCACTTATCAATTATTATTTAAAACATAAACATACAGTTGATAAAAAAATATCGATTCAAATGTTAACACCGGATTCCCAATTTTGCATAATGAGCTTAATTATGTGTCATCATTGAAGCTCAATTTTTGGCCACAAGATATAAAGTCATCATTAGAACGTATAATACAGGCATATAAGTAAAAAAATACCATTATTAGTTGCTAAATTAAATTCATCTTATATGCATGTTATACCGAAATGGTCAAAACAAAGTGATGACAGGTATAGAAATATTGAATTTCGTTATTCATTTTCAAATGTTGAAATATTATTTAAATATTACATTAAATGAAAAAACCCTTAATGGTATTGCACGAAGTATCTATTATAAATATTTGTATAATAAATGTTACATATTATCATATTTGATAAAAACAATTGTTTTATGGATGTGTGAATTGCATGACGACTTTTGCGCATTTGATGACACAAATTATGATACAGTTGCACAAATATTGGCTGCTACATGGATTGATTTTGTGTGTAATAAATTATAATCGTATACATGTGAACATTATTTTATTCTTCGTTTTTTCAGAGTCATTTCCTCAAGAAATATTAGATGAATCGAGAAAAATATTTAAAAAGGATGTTCGCAATGAACTAAGTGCACTTCGTTTCCAGCCGGATAATGAGGATAATATTAGCTATAAATAATCTTATTTCATTGGAGGGCTAAATAAGGGGATTGATTAATTACTTCTAGGTGAAAAACAAGCACAGCTGGATTATATCGAATTAAGATCATTGTTTGATTCTAGTAGGGATAAACGACCGAATACAATTCATCGTTTGTTATTATTAGAAATGATGGGCGTTTACGATAGGTGAAGAAGAAAATAATTGGCTTTTATGGAAAAAATTGTTTTTTGATGCGCCTATTCACCGATTACCACCTATACGTAAAGAAAAATCAGTGCATAGTCTTACTATGTTTCTGGTATCAATGTGCATCATGGGTAAGTATATTCTTTTCTTTATGACATATATGTGTCAGCTTTTTTATTTTCACGTATTTGTTCGAAAAATAATTTAAGCGCAGTAAAATCATCTTCATTTTTATTGTTGGTTTTAACGAAGATCCAGTTAGAAGACAGATGTTAGTTAAGCTCCTTTTTTCTTGTTTTCACACATTGAATATTTACAGACATCTAGTTTGCGAGGAAAAATCAAGCTTTTCTCTGTATATATTGTTTGCATAGAATTCAATATGCAAAGATAAATCGATGGTTGATCCATGCTGATCATAACTAAAGTTTCCGATGTATATTCCTGAATAAGACAAACAATGTATCTGTCTGAATATTTATAAACCAACAGTTCAATTAAATCATTCGTTATTACCAGTATTTGTTTGGGTTCACGGTGTACTAACAAAAATAGGACGTTTCATGACAAAGCATAAGGCGTGCCTAATTCAAAGTTCGAGCACTATCTCAGAATTGGCTCTTTTTCACATATTCTGATAGAAAAAAGTGTCCTGAGTTTAATGGTGAAGTAGGATAGAACGTAAGGAGTATTTAAAACAAATATCCAAATCCGTTTAGTAGAAGTTGAAATATAAGCGCTTTTGTGTTTGGAACGTAACGGTACAATACGACTACGGTACACTTCACCCATATACAAATTTTTTCAGATTTGCTTGTTGTTTTCCTCAAGATCCGTATTTTTCTCAATCGATTTCTATAAGTCTCAAGAACAGAGATATACTACTCGACACAATCTGGCGCTAGGACTGGTGCTGGTTACAAGCACGAACGCTCTTAACCTTCGAACAAATTTTCTCGTTTATGTCAAATAACTTGTAATATTCTGAAAATGACTCTATGAAGAGTCGGAACGTCAGATCCTTTTTAATAAAATAGATTTCAGCTCACCAAGAGGATTATTTTTAACACTGGAGGAATCATAGATATTCAGAAACTTTTCGAACGCTTTCAGTCCGGTTAAACACGATTTTTTTGTGGTATCAGAAAGTGCTACCGCCCATAATTTTGACTTTTTATTTTTTTTTTTATTTTTTATTGACAACAGAAAAAAAAGGAAAAAAAAACAGTAATAAGGCAAGATGTTACATGAATCGTGTCAAAGGGGTACGTCAAAAAGCTTAAGGGCTTATAACTACAACAAAAAGTGGCAGACATACACCTGATAGAGAAGTAGTATACACGTATATAACAGATCAGAACGAACTCAAATACAATTTTAAACTGCTTTTAAAAGATTTAACATTAGATGCTGATGCAACATACGACGATAAATTATTCCAATCAGACGAAGTAGAGTAGAAAAAAGAATACTGAACATTAGTTAGAGTAGTAAACGGTACAACGACACGCAGAGGATTCAGACTTGCATTAAGTCTCTCAGACCTCCTAATATTAACAGGTGGTTGGGTAATGAGCTCATCGCGGTTTAAAGTGCAAAGACGATGGAATATACGATAGTAGTTGACTAGACGGAAATAGAGACGGCGGTTAGTCAAATTAG